TATATATATATATATATATATATATATATATATGTATATGTGTGTAATTTATCATTTTCTACAGGAAAATTTCCAGAAAACATGAAAATAGTAAAGATAGTTCCTCTTTATAAGAATGGTGAGAAATGTGTGTTCACTAATTACGGACCAATATCCTTGATGCCACAATTTTCAAAAATATTAGAAAAATTATTTGTAACTAGATTAGATCAATTTTTAGACAAACAGAATATTTTAAGTAATAGTCAATATGGGTTTAGAACAAATAATTCAACGTCAGTGGGTCTCATGGAACTAATAGAAGAGATAACAAATGCTGTTGATCAAAAACAGTATTGTGCTGGTGTTTTAGTTGATTTAAAAAAGGACTTTGGAACTATTGACCACACCATTCTCCTTGAAAAACTGAATAAATATGGGATTAGATTAGCACTACAGTGAGTATCCTGTTTTTTGAATAATAGGAGACAGCTTGTACATGTAAACGATGTAAGGTCTGAATTTTGATTTAATGGATGTGGAGTCCCTCAGGGCTCTGTGTTGGGAGCAAAGTTGTTTAATTTGTATCTGAATGATCTGGTTGATGTGTCAGGGCTTCTGAAGTGTGTTTTATTTGCAGATGATACCACATTTTTTTGTTCAGGTGAAGATATTGGACGGGTGTTAGAAATGATACAGGCATAACTCGTAAAAATCCAAACTTGGTTCCAACTTAATAAGTTACCATTATATTAGGAAAAAACAAACTATATATTTATTAATAGAAAGAAAATTATCGAAGTCCCATTTAAAAATGACAGTACTGAAATTAAAAGAGTTAATGAAATAAATGTTTTGGTTGTCGTTATTGATGAGAAGCTGACATGGAAAGCTCATGTAAAATACTTAAAAATAAAAATAACAAAATGGATTGCATTACTGTATAAAGTAAAAGAGTTTTTGAATGACAAAGCTTTGTATATATTGTATAATGTAATAATGTTCCATATTTAATCTATTGTATTGAAGTTTGTGGAAAAGCAAGTAAAACAATTACAAATGCTATTTTTATTTTTTAAAAAAAGAGCTATAAGGATTATTAGTAGGAAGTGCTATGGTCACCCAACAAATATATTATTTCATTAGTTGAAATTATTAAAATTTTATGATTTGGTTGAATATAGTATTTTAAAAGTCATGTATAAAGCTCATAAAAATATTAGCCCCAAATATTCAATTAATTTTTTTTTAAATAAAAAATAGTCATTATAACCTTAAGGGAATGTAAATGTTTGTAAAACCTCCATTTAGAACTGGTCTGAAGGAGCTGTGTTGTAATTCAGGGAACAGGATTATGGAATTGCTTTGATATCGCCATAAACATTTCCAAAACAATTTATATGTTTAAAAAAGATGATTAAATTAAAGTTGTTGGGAAAGTATGGTGCCGTGTGAAGGATGTCTAATATTTTTGTTTTCACTTTGGAGAATGTTTTCAAGCCTGAGTTGTTGTTTGTTTGTAGCTATTTTATATTTTTTATATAAGGGGCAGATATTATAAGGATTTATTTTTCTTTCTGCACCCTTTTCTTTCAATGTTTTTTCTTTTTGATGAATGTTTTGTTTATTTTGCTTATTTTAAATTAATTAATAAATGAATGAATGAATAAACAAATAAATAAATAAATAAATAAATAAAAGAGAGGCTGTAATGGGGGAGGGTTCTTCCTGAACTCCAAATATGATTTCTTTGGTCTTGTCTGTGAGGATGAGGTCGTTCTTCTCTTCATAGCTTATAGTGTTGTCAAAAACAAAGTGTTTAGGTGAACAGCTTTTCAATTGGTCCCAATTTTTCAGAGTTCTCCACTTCACCATTCAGCTTTTGATGAAGAGAAATTTAATCACAATTCTCCAAACATTTAACCAAATAAATAAATATACTGATCAACCAGACTGAATAAAGGGAAATGTTATGGTACAATCAAAACTCATCTTCTGAGAACAAATCACTTCAATAATTCACATCCCAGATGGATGAACAGAGCAGTGGTGGACGTTCCAAGCAGAAAGATTTTTTTAAGCAATGCTCTGAGGATCGTCTTTGGGACAGAAGAGCATCGGGCACCAGAAATGTGGCTGATGAAACAAGAAAAGAAAGATCACTTATAAAAAGGTGACATGTTCAAACATATTAAATTGCATCTTTTGTAAAAACAAACCTTCACAATAAATGATTTAAAGCTACAGTCGTCATTTTCCATCCTCAGTTTTCTCCTCCTCCTCAGGATTTTGCGATGAAGGTACTCCACTCTCGTGTCTCCCGTGGCGGTAAAGAATCGTTCGCAGACCATCAGTCGGAGCTGGGAAACTTTAGCTGCCATCAGAGACATGATGAGCAGGGTGAGGAGGATGGCGCTGAGGGGGAACACCGAGTTAAACAGCAGCAGCTCAGGCTCAGGGAGGCACTCTTCCTCAAACAGGGTCACAGAGTAAGAAAAGTCCTTCTGTTGGTTTTCCTTATCAAATGGTATGCCGATAAAAGTTGCAACCCCCTGAAACAGATCGACAGTAAAGTCTTTGGATGACAGTGATAGATGAGAGTACTGCATACAGAGCATGACATGCTCGCTGACAAACTAATATACAGCAATCCATGGGAATGGCTTGGACAGGCAAAAACCCTGAATAAGATTTGATCTTGATGTGTGACTTTGACCTTGAAATTTGTGTGTTGAAAAGATCATGTGACACTTTGTTTGGTGGTACGAATTTGTATCAAGTTTCTTTAAATTATGTTGAGCAAATCAGAAGTTAAGCTCCAGACAAGCAAAACCTTGTTTTAACATTGACCTTGAGTTGTGACCTTGACCTTACAGCTGGGGTGATGAAAAGTGTACGTGACACTCCATCTAGTGATGATGCGTATTAAGTATCATTGAATTATCTTGAGGGATCAGAAGTTATCGTCTGGACAAGAGAAAGTTCACAGATGTATGGATGGAAGAACAAAAACTATATCATAATAATATGAATGTTAAAATAAATACACACTAATAAAACTAGAGAAATTGCATTTCCTGCAAAAATGCAGTGTGAATGCTTATTGCTGAAGAACTTGCTTAAAAACAGCTGACATCAGCTAAAAAACATGCAGAAATGTAGCTGAAATGGAAAAACAAGCCTAAGTTAGCAGAAGAAAGCAGAAAGAACACATATTTGCTGAATTGGGTTAAAATAAGCAGAAATTAGCACAATAATGAGTAAATCTTTAACAACAAGAAAAAGCTGAACTTAGCAAAAAAAAAAAAAAATGCTGAAAAGTTGCTTAAAAGGTAGAAAGGACTTTAAGTGACCAGAAAGACGTGGAAGGAGCTGAAATGAGCTAAAAAGAAAAAAAAAAAAAAAAAAAGAAAAAAAAGGGGGGGGGGGGGGTATTAGCTAAAAAAGCTAAATTTAGCACAAAAAGGCCAAATAGTAGATGAAATAATTGAAACTATCAGGAATAAGCTGAAACTAGCATAACAAGCTGAAATTAGCAGAAATAAATTAATATTGCTGCAAATAGCAGATATTACCAGGAAAATTTTAAATTTATCTGAAAACAGCTGAAATTAGCTGAAAAGGTAGAACAAGTTTAAATTAGCAGAAGAAAGCAGAAAGAACATGTTTGCCAAATTATGCTGAAAGAAGCAAAAATGTGCACAAAAAGTGGAATGTATCTGAAAAAAGCTGAATATAGCAAAAACAGCTGAAAAGCAGCTAAAGAAATTCAGAAAGTAGCTAAAATTACAAGAAGGAAGTGGAGAGAGCGCATTTTTGCTGAATTAGGTAGAAAAAAGTGGAAGTGAGTCCAAAAATGTGGAATTAGCTGAAAAAGCTTAAATTAGCATAAAACGCCTATATAGTAGCTGAAATAGTAGAAAATGTTGAAATTTACAGAATTAAGCTGAAAGGAGCATAACAAGCTGAAATTAGTAGAAAGAAGTTAGAAGCATAAACATGTTGCAGTTAACAGAAAGAATCTGAATGGAGCACAAAACAGCTAGAAAAACAGCTGAAATTAGCTGAAAATAGCTGAAAAAAAGTTTAAATTTGCACAAGGAAGCTGAAAGAAGCTTAACCAGAACAAAATGTGAAAGGAGCAGTAAATGGTTGTAAACAGATCTAAAGATATGAAGGAAGTAAAATGAGCTTAATTAATTTTCTATGAGAAAAATCTGGCAGAAAAGGCTAAATATAAAAAAACTAAAGTTGCACCAATACCAAAAGTCATAGCAGGATTTTCCTGAACGAGCTGAACGTTTTGATTTGATTTGTTGAAATAACTTGAAAACTGAGGGACGAGAATCAAGTTGAAAAACATACGGAAGAAAAATGGATCACAACAGTGTGGATGCTTCATAAACAGTCACACCATAAACATGAAATATGGTTTTACAATACTTACTTTAAAACTAATGATCAGGGGGACGTGGAAAGGCTTCAGCTCTGATAACTTTTTTGTAACTATATCAATGAAGCAGTACAATAAGGCATCCACGGTCATGAAAATGATCCAGGTGACAACGTGGGAGATCACTGGGGCTCCGAATCTGAGAACAGCCTTCCCCTCTCTGATGGTGGGACGAGCCGAGGGGATGAAGGGGTACAGCTTCTCCTCCTCTGCTGTGAGGGGGAGGACGTGAGGCTTTCCTTCAGCCTTCTGCTTCTCATCAAAAAGGACAAACTTTCTGCTGATGAACCTGTTTTCATACTTCACGTTGTTGCAGTATTTCTTAATGTGAAGGGCTATGACCAGCATGAGCACGAGGAAGCTGACGGCAGGAAGTAGCCTCTCAGAAACCGAGGAGACTGTAGCCACAACGGCCTGAACGTGTTTCACCGTCTCATTCAGCTTCTCCTCTGCCTCGCTCAGTTTCAGCTTGAAGTTTTCCGATTCTATTCTGGGGGAAACTTTGAGCTGAGAGTTGAATTTGACCACATCGAGATCTGTAACCCCTTTGAGTAAGCTTCCTATCCACTTCAACATCTTGATGTAGTTACTGAACGGAGCAGTGATGGACGCTTTCTTTGCCTTCAGGTTGCAGATCATACTCTGGACCAGACGTTTGAGGTTCTCCACAGTGTTCTTTATATTTTTCAGAACAACTAAACTTGTTCCAGCTGTCAGAAGCAGGTTCCGACTCTTCTTCATGAAAATAGAAATTACGAACAGAGTTCCCAAACACCTCACTCTTTTGGACAGGACAGAGGCAGAAGTCAGCAGAACCCAGAAGCAGCCGGCGATCCCTCCAGCCACTGAGAGCTCGTAGTCCAGAGTGAAGAGGAGGTAGAGGAGGAGCAGAGAGCTGAGCAGGAGGCTTGATATGCTGCAGGTGGAGATGAGGAGAGCAGTTCTTCTCCAGCCTTTTCTCTGACCGGTGATAAAAACATCTAGAGCCAGAGAAGTGACCTCCTGAAAGCTTTGCTTCACAGTAACCCACAAAAACAGCATCCTGAGTATCTGAGGTTCTGCAAGGAAAAACAAGACAATGAGGTCAAAACAGAAAACCTGGAAACATCTGAACTCTTTTACTGAAGGTGTTCACTTTACCTTCACCAGAGTTTAACTCAGTTTACTCCTGCAACCCCAGAGATAAACTTATTCCATTAGACTAATAGCAAGTCTACATACATTTATTCAAATTCAGTAGAATTGATTTCAATTCATGTCCCAGTTCATATCCATAGTCAGATTTATGTGTAAAATTAGATGATTATATAATACTAATTTGCTAATAAATAAGTAATGAAGCCAACTTGTTGAACTGAATCGTGTTGTGCTGAATGTCTCCTTAAATACACCACAGACAGGAACTACTACTCCACCGTGGTCAAACTTCCGACATGTCATCTCTCAGTCATCCCTCATTTTGTTTTATTTATTTTTACAAAAGCAGAAGTAAAGGCAGGCTGATGTGAGACTGAAATTTACCAGCGACTGACTCTCAGCTTTGTTCAGTGTCAAGAGTCGATGGTTTCATTACACAACTCTGTACATTGTCAAAATATTCAGGGTTTGATGAATTTAAACAACTTTTTTTTTTTGGGGGGGGGGGGGGTAGAACTTGGGGAACATACAGGAAATAACTGAAATGTCTTCTTTTTCTTCATGTAATACTATTCTCAGCAGTAAAAAGGAACAAAGAATTGAAAAGAAACAAAATGCATAAAATGTTAAGTGAAAATATTCCTAAGAAAAGAAGCTAGTTGGGTTTTCTTGCAGTGTTGCAAATTCTATCATAAACTACAGTCATGGGAAAAATAAAGCATAACCCTTTACAATTTAAGGACTTAAATAATAATAATAATAATAATAATAATAATAATAATAATAATAATAATAAATTTTATTTAAAAGTGCCTTTCAGGACACACAAGAACACTGTGCAGCTAAACACCAACATTCAGCAGAAAAAAAAAATAGTATAGCAAATTCCACCAAGGTTCATGCTCAATAATGGTAAATGGACTGTACTTATATAGCGCCTTTCTATCTTATTGAGATACTCAAAGCGCTTTACACTACAATCTGTGTCCTCATTTACCCGTTCATACAGCACTCTAGATCTCTACAAAGCTAATTGAACAAATCATTCTAAAGAGACTGAGAGACAGACTGAGAAGAAGGCAGAACCAGGTGTACAAAAGGTAAGCAATTGACAAAGATCAAGTTTTTCCAACAGCCAGACACCTAGAAGAGTCAAAATGTTTATTATTTTGTAGCTGCTAATGGGAGTCACGGTCCAGTTTGTGGATAAATCTTCTCAGGCAGATAAGGTGTCTAAGCTTGATATGATGATGTCATTGAAACTGGTGGAGGAGCAGCTGCAACTTAATGCTGTGGACAACTGGAACAGTGGGGAAATCCAGGGTCGTGGTCCAAAAGATGAAGCAGGGGTCAAGCACAGGGAACCAGAGGTCCAAGAACAAATCCAGTGGGCAGTCCATAATCCATAATCCATAAACCAGAAGGAGTAGTTGTTACCAAGATCAGAAGGGCAGAACAAGATCAGATGGGGTACAAGCAGAGTGGTAAATCCAGATGACGGGTGTGGGGTCTAGACGAGAGAATCAGACAAGATTGTGCATGAAGTGTTAGACATCTAGTACCATGAAGGGTTTGATAATCTGGCAGAGAACCTGAGTGGATGGAGCTCTTATATAAAATGGGCAACAGGTGCAGGGCATAAATGCTGATTGAGCTGTGGGTGAAGACTGGGCATTGGCAGAATAACAAAGGCAGAAACATGAAAGTGATTTTATTTACAGGTGCAGCAGCTTCAGAGCTGGAAGGGAAAAGGGACAAGGTGAATTATCTTGTATGATTTTAGATTTGCAGCAATGACTGATAAACAGCAGATAATTATTTCTTACTGTTATGTCTTGTAGATGAAGCCAGAGAGGAAGGGGAGATGAGGTTCCAGGTTTTCCATGGGAGAGAGATGAAGATTCAGAGGAGGAGAGAAGAGCAGGTTGTCCCTGGTAGAGTGTTGTTGATTTCAGGTACTTGTTTGATTGTTTCAAGGGCCAATATCTATCCATAGGAGAGTCACAAGGAGCGAGGAGGTCTTGGAAGACTCATACAGGTAGGACTTGGAAGTTGCAGATGGTAGGTAATTTCACAGCACTGGGAGAGTATCTGGCAGGAGGTTTTCTGCTCAGTAGAGCAGTCCTTCCCAATTTACAGCAGGTTTGGAGTGGTGGCTGGAAAATGCAGGAATCCTACAGAGGGAGGAAATAGATCTAAAGGAGCACGAGGGGATGGAGATCTGTTGGTCAGATAAGTATGGAGGGGCAAGATGGATGGTTTAAAAGTAAAGGGTAAAAGGACTGTACTTATATAGCGCCTTTCTGTCTAATCAAGATACTCGAAGTGCTTTACAACACAGTCTGTGCTCTCATTTTCCTATCCACACCACAGAACTGCTACAGCTCTACAAAGTAATTAAATAAATCATCCTGTAGAGACTAATCAGTGCTATTAGATCACATCCATACATGGATGAGACACACATAGGAGGCAATGAGGGGTTCGGTGTCTTGCCCAGGGACACTTCAACATATGACTGCTTGTAGAATCGAACCCCCAACTCTCCAATTGGAGGATGACTGCTCTAACCACTCAACACATCTGCCCCCAAAGTAGTTATTTATTTATAAACCTTTATTTAACCAGGCAAATCCCATTGAGACCACAGATCTCTTTTGCAAGGGAGGCCTGGGCCTGAAGACAGACTCTAACATGACTAACAAGACAGACTGTGGGAGGAAACTGGAGTACCCAGAGAAAACCCACACAATCATGAGACGAACATGCAAATTCCACACAGAAAGACCCCAGGTCCAACTGGGGACTTGAACCCAAGACCTTCTTGTTGTGAGGCAACAGTGCTAACCACTGAGCCAAATTTGGGGGCAGCAAAGTGCGAAGAAGAATTTTGAAGATGATATAACATTTAACCAGGATCCAGTGAAGCTTCTGCAGGACAGGAGTGATGTGGTTATAGGAGGAGGTTTGGGTGATGACACAGGCAGCAGAGTTCTGAACCATCTGTAGCTTATGAAGTGATTTATTGAAAGGCCAAAAAGAAAGGAGTTACAATAAATCGATCTGGGACATTACAAGACTGTGGACAAGGATGGCAGTGAAAGATGGCTAATGTTACGAAGGTTGGATACAGAGGTCTGTTTAACGATGGATGGGTTCTCTTCACAAAGATGATTTCATTCACTCCTCTCCAACTACCATTGTTCCTCTCTATCAAAGATGTGCACATCTTCATCCCTGAAAGAGTGACCTCTGGCCTGCAGATGAGTGTAGACTGCAGAGTCTTGGCCTGATGCTGTTGATCTTCTGTGCTAGTTCATCCTTTTGGCCAGTGGCTGTTTAGTTTCCCTGATATAAGACTGATCACAGCCCTCCTGACACTAAACAGCATACACAATATTACTCTGTGCCGGGGGACTGGATCTTTGGGATGGACCAGTCTTTGTTGTAATGTATTTTGGTGTTTGAAAGCCATATCAGACATAATCAGTTAGCGGGAACCAGAATCTAGACTTGGTTGTAGGGGATTAATAACCATTTTTATCTCCTCAGTGGTCTGAAATAACAGATTTTAAAATTTTAAACTTGTAAAATTATGGGATCAGTAGACCAAAAACACATTTCCCTGACTACATATGGTAATTGATTCCATCCTACATTTTATCAAAATGTAATACATTTTGTGAGTCACACAGGCAGAAAATCTTGCCTGAACATGTCAGGACCTTCAAGTAATTACCACACACATACCAGGAGGTTAAGAAAATAAAGGCTTTTTATTACTTAATTAAAGGTTCCTAAAAATAAAAAGGTGAAGGATACAACCATAAAACAGAACTGGATATCAAGGGCAGTTTATGATCCAGATTCCACCACTACAAGTATTTTAAGGTGACCTATTACAAATTATCCACAGCAAGTTGCTGCCAACACCCTCCTCTAGAGGCACTGTAACCACAACACCCAAATTCTACAGGTTAAAGGATTTATAAAACTGTCTTGTCCTATTAAACCAAAGTCTTCCACCCATTTTTCACCCCAAGCTAAAATAGAGGCCTTACATAAAGATAAAATGAGTTCACTTAGCTTGCCCAGCTGCCGAGACCCCTCCCTGGGGTCTGAGTTTGTGACGCCATCCTACACCCCGGGGACTGACTTGGCTGGACGATGACTGGACTGCCTGGATTGGCTCCACACCAGATCAGAGCCTCCAACAGGAACAGCAGCCCACAGTAGCAGGACAGCAAGATGGTGTCTGCACTGCACCCAGCTAAAGCCCAGCACTTACTGTCTAAAGGAGTCCTGATTGCTCAATAAGTCAGGTAGAAAAATCTAACAAGGTTAAGATAGGTCCTCTGAATGGATTCTTCTAAGGCAGACACCCAGCCTCCCCTCCTCACACAGGATCACTTATCCACCTTGCTGTCACAAATATCCCTAAATGACTGAGAATGACGCCCTCGATCCAAAAAGGGTGCTGCCTCAACCACTGGAAGCTCTCCCCTCAGTTTGTTTGAGATATATTTCCTCAGTGTGCTGCTCCTCTACTGAATGCACACACTTGTCCTTTATCTGTCCATACTAGTCTCTTTACCTCCTTTGATTTAGCCAAATGGGTAGCAGAGCTTTCAGTTATCAGGCTCCTTTCATGTGGAACCAACTTCCAGTTTCTGTCCGTGAGGCTGACACATCATCTACTTTTAAGTGTTGGCTTAAGTCTTTGCTTTTTGATAAATCCTATAGTTAGGGTCGGCTTGGGTTTCCTGAACTATCCTTTAGTAATGCTGCTATGTGCTTAGACTGCTGGAGGACAAACTGACCACATTTCCTCACTCTGCTTCTTTACTTACTCTACTCTCCGTTTGGTATTTGCAATTATTTTTATCCTTGACGTGTTTTTTTTGTCTTTCTTCGAATAGGGAGTACACATGCACCTACATCTGGGCCTGTCATTCTGTGTTTGTCTCTCCTTCCTTCCTCTCAAACTCAGCTGGTCAAAGCAGCTGGCCACTTGTCCTGAGCCTGGTTCTGCTGGAGGTTTCTTCCTGTTAAAAGGGAGTTTTTCCTTTCCACTGTTGCCTTTGTGCTTGCTCAGAATGGGAAAGTGTGACAAAGTGAAGATTCAATGTAATGGCTTCCTTAGATAGAGAACTTTACTAAGTGGTTTTTGTATGTATGTGAATCTTTCTGTTCAGTGCCCTGAGACGACTTCTGGTGTGATTTGACGCTATATAAATAAACTGAATTGAATTGAAATTGATGAGTCTTGCCCAAGCACATTACAGTAACATAGCTACACAATTTTCAACATCAATTAGGCCTTTTTTTAACTCCTGCTTTGCTCCTCTTGTAACGTATACTGTACAGGCTCTCAATGCACAGACATGCACTGGTATTTGTTTTTTGATTCTTGGGCTGGTCTGGATGAATTATTGTCTACAGTTCTGATATCAGTACATTAGATAGATGTTTATCTAAAATAACAGTCAGAGCTTGGCATTGAAGTATAATAATATTTCTACAATTTATTTTATTTTTGTTAGTTAATATGAGTTTTCAAAGATGCTAAGCTTATTTCCTCTTGTATCGGTATTCAAGTTTTGTCTTTAAGCGTATCAGCATGTTGACATTAGCTATTAGCTCTAAGCTTTAGATTGTTGTATTGTTAGAATATAGAAGAAAGCACAAGTCTGAGCTAGTTTTCTTAATGTGGCTTAGATTATATTAGAAAATTATGAAAAAATGGATAGAAACTGGTCAAGGTAAGGCTCTTTATTGCAAATAAAACTTATTGTAATAATGATGTGGTGGAGTTAGGGCCTAAAATTTGTAGATGACTAATTCCATGTCCTCCGAACACACACCAGCCCAAACTACTACTACACAATGTTTTATTTGTTATGGAAATGTATTAGTAAATTACTGACTTTAAATCTTTATTATTTTAGTTTGTTGGTGAGCCATAGATACTGTGTCTGTCTTTAATTAGCTCATGAAACAGAGGACAGATTTTAACACAACTCTCACAAAACTAATCATTAGATGTACATCTACAAACGATTAACTTTTATGATCAATCTAAGTCAAGATGGCACATCTAACCAAATTTAGCAAACACACAAAAACATTTAACTTTGTCAGTTTTAATGCAGTTGAGCAAAAGTTTGGTTTGGTAGTACCTAAGAGCTGATCGTAGATCTTTGTTTAAAATGTTGCCAATAACTATTGGAGTAAACTGTGTGTGTGTGTGGGGGGGGGGGGGGGCAAGATGTGGTAGAGGCAGGGCAGCTGACCCAGGACCCGAAAGTCCCAGACTCGATCCCCAGCCATTCCCACATGTCGTGGTGTCCTTGAGCAAGACACCCAACCCCCAATTACTCCCCGGGCGCCCACACAGCTGCCCACTGCTCCACCTGGGTGTATCTCAGGTGCAATAGGTTAAATGCAGAGAACACATTTCGCCATTGTGTGGGAACATACAATGATAACAACACAAAGAACTTTACTTGTCTGTTAGCAAAATATCTCGTGAATCACTGGACAAATTTTGATTTTTTTTTCTGAAAGCAACCATTGGTTGTACATCTACAACTAACAAACATAATTCAATATGACTTCTACTACCAAACTGACCTGATAAAACAAAAATGGCTTGAAGTCAGCCAATTTTGCATGTACTGATGTAAAATTTGACGTGGTAGTAGCTGACAGTCATACCCAAAACATACTCCTGTCCTGGAGTGAGCTCTTGCATAACTTTATTTTCAATGAACAATAAAACTAACAGATTCCATCCTTTCTCATCACAAAATAATCTTCGTTAAACTCAGGCCTAAAGGTGACGGGCAGGTTTTAATCACTACTCAACTCTTGGCATCAATGTAATATCAATTTCTTTTATTTTTAATTTGAAAAATAACTTACATAAATCTCTGTACTCAACCATACTTCACCAAGACATAGCCTTGGTATTAACACATTGCACCAGAAAGATCAAATTAAAAAGGCATTCAAAAGCATAAATAACATATGTCTTTGTCATCACGAGGCATTTTTCCTGTTCCAGAAGAGTCTCTGAACCTGTTTATGGTAGTCTGTTATTAAATTCTGACATCTAAAGATATGTACAGAGAAAGGGAAACTGAAAATATATACTGTATTCTGTTACAGCGACAAGTTTTGGACTTTTAATATCCTCTTGTGGAAAAGGAATAACGCCTCAGTCCATTTTCATTCAGACATACTGCAGTTATAGGACTCGTATACTTCCCAAAATTGAGAAGTATATATTTTTTATTATTAAAAATAGAAAATAAAAAATAAACTGGTCTTGGCTTTTAAATAAAATTAACAAAAATATATTAACATAATTTTATTTTCATTTAAACACACAAAGAAAAAAAAAACACATTGTGGCAATATCCCGTATTAGTTAAACTTGTGATTTGCTCATCGTCACTAAAGGAGCCTGTAAAACTTAAAGCAACAAACACCTCTTGCATGTTTGCTGCCTCTTGATTCGGCATTGATGTCTTGGTGTACTAGTACAGATCATTTTTGCATGTTTGTCGACGATATTAAAAGAAAATACACTTAAAATCAAATTTATGTCACCAGCCTCAATAAATATAAAATAATTCTTCTTCTTTTTTTTCCCCCTCAAAACCCTGAAAGAAAATATGACTTTGGGGGTGGAATGTTTTTTAAAACCTCAACTGGTCATGGGAGACCAACAACTAATTTGCTGCTCAATTTATTTTGTGAGGGAGGAAAGTAATAAAGTTTCCATGCACTGTACAAGAATCTGCAAAAGTTCCAAATATCGTCTTTATCAAAACATGCTAAGTTACTGTAAGGTGTGCCCAAGACATGTTGCAGAAAATCCCTTTCAACATGCTTGTTAAAACAAATCAAATAAAACAGAAAAGACGTAGTAAAACAATCCAGAATTGAAAAGCAACCAGCAGTCCTAAAATCTGGACGTATTAGGGGACTGATCGATGGTAGCAATGAACACTACAGCGAGAAGTACCCTTGGACAAGAAAAAAGAAACGTACAATTTGCACATAATGTTCATATTTATAAGGCAGAAGCCTTTTACAATGAAATAAACATGTATTTTCATTGTCACTTCCCCCCTTAAATTAGCTAAGTTTTTTCCTATTTGCCTGTCTGATGAACGGTTTAAAGAATGACGAACAATGTCTTTTTTCATTACGATGTTGCATTCACTCCCCTTGAAAACATGCACTAGTGAAATTTTATCTTTAAAAATAATATAAATTGTTGAAAATGGCTGACCTATTTTAATTTTTCTTTATTGTTCTTTTTTTTTTTTTTTTTGCAAGTTGCAGCCTCAAGAAAATAAATTTCTTCTTTTTATTCAGCTACGTTTGTGCCCATGCAAATCAACTAAACAAGAAAAATACCTTCTTTTTTTTCCTCATTTGATTTTCATACAATATATCAACAAATAAATACTACTAAAGATTGTACTTTTTTTCATGGGGTTGGATTGTTACTGAATATTCTGGAGGGTTGATCGTGGCCACTTCAGTATTGCCCCTGATCGATCGATTTATCAGCTCAAAAACTTTGAGCACGTACTGCATGTCCCCTGCATTTTAGAGGAGTATAATAAATACCCCTCTCTCAAAGTGGTGGTCTCCAAAGCTGCATTTACATAGCTCGGTCTGTTGGCATGGTGTGACCAAGCATCTGGTTAGAAACACTGTCACCCCCATAAGATACAGGTACATTAAAATGAACAGAAATGAACAAACAAACAAACAAAAAAGACAAAACAAAAAGTAGATTTTTTTCATTCGAAAAGGGTCCCTGTAGAACTCGTTCAGTGGTTCCCAGTGCTGACCCCATGGCTTCGAATTGGAAGGAAACCTGGAACTGATGCGTTCCTCGTGCTAAGGAGTTCATCCCAGCTTCCTCCAAATGACAATACCTGGCAATCCTTGTTGCTAGGTGCTTGCAACACACTTTGCCACGTGCACAATGTGCGCAACGTTTTTGCTTAAAACACAGGATCACGTTTGTGCCCCGAGAAACAGGCTCAGAAGACACAACATCAAGCATGCAGTGTAACCGGGGCTTGTGACCTGTTGCTGCAACACTGGCTGCTACACCATTGCTATTAGTCCACATGCTGCTATGATCGAGAGAAACTGTCCAGTGAAGATTGGGAAGCTCTTCTTGTCAGTGGGGCCAGAGTAGGGTCCACCAGAGAGGAAGGAGGAAAGAGCTTGTACCAGCCAATCACCATGTTGGACAGGTCCAGGTCGTCTAACAGTATCTGAACTGCTCCCATGAAGGATTTATGGTCCATACGCCCATAGTCACCCCAAACGATGACCTGAGAAGCAAAAGACAAAAAGAAGCAGTTGTCAGAAATACAGAAACAACAAAAGGAAAACAAATAAAATCATTTCCCCTCTTTTTTTTTATTTTTACCTGTAAAACTTTCCCCCCTGGACTCTCCTCAAACGGCAGTTGCTGCTGGTAAAGAGGATCCAATGTTTTTCTTGCTACTTTAGTTTTCTTTTTGGCTATGCAGGCTCCGTTTTCCAAAAGGTAGACTTTTACATATGGTGCTTGAAAAAGGAGCAGAGAAGTACTTTATTTTTCTGGTCTTGCTTTGTCGTTTATCATCATGCAAAGTGTGAAAAAAGAAAATCTGTTCCGTTAAAAAGCTCATTTACCTGGCAGTGCCTTGGAACCTGGTTTTCCTACAAGACCACGTGCTCTAATGACTTCCATTTCCAGGGCTCCTTTTTTCTCCACCATACCTATCTGGATGTCTCCTAAAAATCAGAAGAACAAAACAATAAATAAAACATGCATGCAAAAAATCTAAATTAAGACTTTGATTCATTTTGAATGGAAATATTAAGAAGCTGTTCTCACCCATCGATGGAGTAGCTAAAGTCTGGCGTCCAACCAGTTGGGCGGGACCGAGTCCATCCAGGAAGTCGCTGAACTGAGAATCTGAGGAGAGCCTCACGCTGGGGAAGATGAGACTGAAGCAGAGAAAAACAACGTCCGGTTTGTGGTAGTGGATGAAGAGTAAATCAGTTTGTAAGTTTCAGCATTAAATCGAAGTTTGAGTAGAAACAGTTTCCTAACAAATAGAAGCTGAGAGTCCTGATGTCCTTACTTTCCCTCAGAGCTGTAGCTGTTCATGCTGCCATCTGTGGACTCCCGACTGGCCTGCCGAGTCATCCTGCTCCTCATTTCCACCGCCAAGCCCGTCTCTGTGCTCCTCTGGATGGTACTCCGCAACTTCTTACCTCCCGCTTCTGCACAAACAGGACAAAAAGAAGAGGGGGGAGGAAGAGGGACATCAACTATGAATTCATGTTAATGAATCATAATGTGACGCAGCGAGTTACGTTCACATCAGTGATACTCCCATGGTTTCAGTGGCTCACACATGAGAATCCATATTTTTATTCTGAAAATGATTACACTATTCTCCTCCTCTGTTTAAGAGGCTTTTCACACTTCTGGCTGTTTGTGTGTGTACTGTACTGAGCAGGGCAGCGTATACAGCCCTCCTCTGATCTGCCTCCAGGGGGATAGCAGGATCCACAGTGGGTTTATCTCCACCCCTCCACTTTACCGCACCGCCATCCTGACTGATCCAAGAAGACAGCTGACTCTCTCCATTAGGCCTGCTGCTGCTCATCTACACTCAGTGTGCATGTGAGACCACGTGGTTCTGCCTGTGGCAGATATACACATACCTACAGCATGTACAACGTGAAGGCACCGGGACTTGGTTTAAAACTCATACATAAACAGAAAATAATTTGTATACGTCCTATGGTTTCAATGAGAATTACACTCCCTCCCCCACCCCCAGCAATCTAGGTCTAATTTCCCTACATGTTTTGTGCATGGCTATTAGACATTCAGACGTTATCCATACAAAATGTTGCTTTGCTTGTCTGTGATCAAGTTGCTGCAAAACGAGAACAGGATCATATTTCCCAGAAGAACACCAGACACAAAGTCTAATAATTAAACACATCAGACCTATAATCAGATCAGTGCAGAACAGCAAAGGATGCAAACTGTTGACAAATAATTAGTTTGCTTGGCTTCTATTGCATTTTGCTCCAATATGTTTCCAGTCTGTGAGGATGTCACATGTCTGGAACAGAAAGTTTCAAACATTTAGAAGCCCAGCTGTGTGTAAAAATGGGATGGTTCCGTGTCCTTTTCTCATTCGCACACAATTAATGAAGCTTTTCAGCCTTGAAATCTCAGTTATGCAGCCGGCCTCCACCTCCTCTTCCGGCTCTTCAAACGCTACAATAGGAGCTGCAGTGACAGAGGTCGTCTCTTACGTCTGCAGCAGACCTCCTCAGCCAATCACTAGCCGGGAACATCTTATAAATGGGCACTGAAAACATTATTTCAGTGCATGTCAATACATTCTGCTGACATGTAGTCATCAGATACATCCAATCATTTATACTGTAGAAAAGAATTGCATACATACAACTCATTGTGTATACGTATATTTTAATCAAATAGCAAAACTTGCATTTAAAGACTAATAAAATAAGCAAAGTAACATATACTGTAATTTGAAAATTAATTATTTAAATCTTTTCACGTTGTTTATCACATCTTGAGCTGAAAAGGAACTACTGCTAAAGATCCAGCCAGCATTTATTAACATTCTTTTCAGCTACAAAATCAGATCGGATTGCTTCTGAGGATAAAAGATGAAGGTCTGGATGGTGGTTTGATTGGTCTCCCCAACCATCCATTTTACAAACGCCTCCATTATTGGTAGCAACAAGAAAAGCAGGATGTGTTTCTTAAAAACATAGACCAGTTGACCCTAGATTTCTGTTTTCAATTACCAAAGCTCAAGCATTGTTCGTCAGTTAAACTGAATTGTAATCCTAATTAAATGTCTTTCTTCTCTCAACCTGCTGCAGCTCTCTCCAGAATCAGTTTCAGATCATCTTATCCACTAATTCCAGCTCCAGCCACTTCTTCACTGCCTCCATTCAGTGTAGTCTGCAAAGCTGCCCCCGTCCTAAAGCAAACAGCTGATAATGGGACATTGCCACATCCATCATCTTACCTTCGTCTTCCTCATCGAATGAGTTCATGCAGGGGAAATAGACAGCCAGGGCTTCAAACGATGCAGACAGGCTGATTCTGCTCTGGGAGCACTGGACGCGCATCCCAGGAGCTGTAGCAGAGGTATCACTCCCCTGCCTGCCCATGATGACTGGAAGCCGTTTTCCTCAATGCAGTTAATCAAATTTGGAGAAGGGCCTCCTTTTTCCAAGCTGGTTGAAGCTCTATTTAAATAATATCTGAGCCTTGTTGTAGATGGTGCTGTGCAGCAGATGATCAGGGATAGATAAAGCTGTCAGTCCCTTGATGCTCCGTACACCGCATCTCAGAAAAACGCAGCTTTGGTATTCGAGTCTTGTGCTGTCTGGCTCTGACGCTCCTGCTGCACCTCCTTCTTCAGTAGGGGGAGGGGACAGAGCCCTGTCTTGCTTTACCAATCAGAAAGCCGGGATGCTCAGGCGCACCTCTGCTGGCTTTGCGGTTCAACAAGCTCTACCCAGAGATACTGAGCTCCTTTCCCCACTCTTCCCATCAGTTTTTAATCTTCACTTGTATTTTTTTGCTTTCTCTTGTTTCTCCATCTTTGTTCCTTCTGAGTGGCACATTAATGTTGTGTGTTTCATTTTATCTTGTAAAACACTGTACCTCTCTGCACCTGTCTTATCCACAGAGAGCTGAGTAAATAAACTGCCATTAGGCGAACAGACAGAGAGCTCGAGCCACATGGCAGTCACTCCGAGTTCACGTGGCAAAAGCTACTCGTTGCTTTTCTCTCTTGCTTAATGGTAATATCACAGCAGGGTTGGTGGCTTTGCTTTGTTTGCGCTCTACTTACAGCAAAATAAAAACAGACAGTGATTCTGTTTATATGCCTGGCTGGAAAACTTTGTCACCTCTTTGTGACATGGCAGTGTTGGATGACAAGAAATTTATTTTTCCTTACAATGTTTTGTATCAAACTGCCATGATCTGAGTTTTTGTGGATGTTGTTTGTTTTATTGTTTTCCTTCTTAGTGTGTTGTTTTTTCCTTTTTTATTGTTCTTTGATTTTTTTAGATTCCTTGTATTATGTTTAGTTTCCCACTGTCTACTTGTGTTATCAGCCTTTTTCCTTCTGCCCTCAGTTGCTTCTGATGTTTGTTAGTCTGACTCCACTTGGAATCACTCCTCCCAGCCTAAACTCCTGATTCTCACCTTCTCATCAGTCTGTCACGCTTCTTTTTGGATTCAGTGAGACGTCTATTGTACGTTTACAACTGGTTCAAAATGCTGCAGCCCAATTTTTAACTGGTACAGGCAAAACAGAGTACAGTATGTATGTTTTTACATCACTGAACAGTTCTGACCTCTCCTATCTCGCTGATCTGCTGCAGCCATATGTTCCACAATGTGCTCTGAGGTCAACAGACCAGATGCTTTTATTGGTTCCAGGCATTCATTTTAAGCTCAGACGTGACATAACCTTCTCGGTTGCAGGTCCAAAACTGTGGACTGAGTTACCACTGCATGTCAGGCAGGCTCCCTCTCACTGTTTTTAGTCTTGTTTAAATACTCCCTTTTATTTCCTGGCTTTTGACACTGTGAGATGATTTTAACTTGTCTGTATTCTATAATGTTAGTCATATAGTTCTTATCTTTACCTCTGTGGATCTATGCACTTTTTGCTCTGTCCTTTGCTTGTTTTGTTTTTACTGTACAGCACTTTGGTTGGCCTTGCTACTGTTTTTAAATGCTTTATTAATAAAGTGGTATGGTATGGTATGCTGTTAGTGGCCTGTCCGTTTCCATGTTTTCTTAGTCCTAGCATATTCTTCATTGTTTTAGTCTCAGAATTTGTTGCTGCCCTGTTACCATCATATTCTTGTTAATGACATCCACATTTATTCTTTACTTCTTGTGTTTCAGTCTGCATTCTTTGGTCATCTGAAATCACATTCTGACACAAATAAATAAAGAAGATTTTTTACTTCAATCAGTATAAAACAACCTAAAAGAAAGACCTAGCATTCTGTGAAGGAATGCATATCCCATGTTCAAGAGTTTTAAATTAAGATGATCTTATGAGAAGAGATGGCATTGCAGTGATTTTTAGTCAAACCTTGTAAACAACGTTATGACCAACCTCATACAATACTGTGATAATAATAACAACAACAACAACAATAATAATAATAATAATAATAATAATAATCTTACAAGATCTATCAATGCTAGAAGTATATGTTGATAATAGGAATATCATGGAATGGATGAACATTTGTAAATTATGTTATAGCCATTTTTGTGTTGGCTAATGTTGATTAGCTGTGGTGACCATCTTGAATTGGGTTGACTTCAAAAGATATGAGTTTTAGCTATACAGTACATAGAGTGACTACATTCTGAATGTTTCAGAAATCTATCCACTGGTTTATGTGTGAGGATTCTGCAGTTTTGATTTGTCTTTTTCTTTATGTGTGTGTGTTTGCTCAGCTCTGGTGGTCATCTTAAATTGGGCTGACTACAAAAATTAGATATAAATGTACATCCATTACTTTTTGAAAGTTTAATATTTGTCCCTGGTTCATGAGATATTTTAATAATTCTTCAAAAAGACACACAAACATGGACAATAAGACAATGCATACCTTAAAGAAATTTTTTTTTTCAGTATCTTTCAGTTACAGGCACAGTCTATTTTAAACTGTCTAGATCTAGGAGCCTAATGAAAATGTTTCTTTAGTGGTCAGCTAATACGCCTGAATCCAACTCTGGAAATGTGTGTGAGGACACAACATAAATCCAATACATCAGACCTCAGTCCTGCTGACAGCTGCCATCAACAGTTCTCTGACTACAGAAATAAACCTACAGTAGCCAAGGTACTTTTGTTTCAAATATCCATCAGGCTGAGTGAGACCAGGATGAAATACTTCAGGTGCTCCTCTCCACAGCACAAAAATAGCAACTCCCTGCAGTGTTCTTGCTAAAGCTAAAGTTTCCCACCCCGAGACTCTGCAACCTACTTTAAGAAGAAACTGCCGACTGCGTACAGTGTCTATTTGCAGATTCCATCTAGGTCAACATATGAAATAAATAAATAAAAACAAGACTTTGAGCTGGAAGGAACATAAAACAATGATGTGATAGTCAAAGGTGTTTGTCTGGGGCTGGGTGAGGTTGTTTGATCATGTCATTTTCTAAAAATTCATGTTTT